AAAAAATTATTTAAGACTAAATATTAAGGATTCTGTATCATTTCATAAAGGTTCAAAAAGTATATACTTAAATACTATACACAGAAAAATGTTATATTGCATGAGTCAATAGTCTTTACACTTGTATCTTTGGGAATAAATCTACAAATGTCCATTTCTTTTTTACATTTTCAGAACATATTATCTATTACACAAAAGAGGCAAATATAAAGCTGGATTAAGAAATTTCTGACTCAAAAAAAAAAATTTCTGACTCCTGGTAGAAGAAAACTATCCCACCCCCCTTTTTCCAATAAAAGTTTATCAAGGATTATAGTTGAGTTTGTAAAGTGGAGAAATACAAATACAAGCATAAAATTTTCCATGAAATTAAGGTAGATACATTTTACATAAGAATTTCTGTAAAGACATCTGGTATTGAAGTGATTATATCCTATAATAGCAAACAGGTTTAGTATGAAATGTCTTGGATGAAGAGGCCTCAAAGGGTAAAAGTGTATACGCCATGTTAGTAAAAGTAACAATACCTAAGCACTTTCTTACAAAAATGGAGAGGAAGATAAGACAATTCAACTAAACTAAAAGAGAAGTTTACTACTTTATAAATAGTAAACATGCAAGCATTTCCTTTGCTTTTCAAAAGCATTTAATTATTCTAATTACTACTCAGTTGTATTTGTAAATTAACTCCTGTTGTGCTTACACCCTTAACTCTATATTTTACATGCATTTAAAAAACTGTAGATAGAAATAACACTGTGTTTTAGAGTGAAATCTGAATAACCACACAGACATGGACCAACATTTATTACAAACAGGAAAAGAGCAGATCTCTAAGAAAAAAAATAGTACAGATGCTTTTTAAAAGCTACAAACTTAAGTATAAAAAAGAAATTCTCATTACTTGATAATGCATTTTTCTATATATTAAAATCACAGGACTCAATATGTATAACATTATAATACAGTACTTTAAACTGCTACTTAAAAAGATACTAAAACATTATTTAACAATGGAAAATTTATTTCAATTTAGATCGCTCATGTTGCATCCTGATTTCACTTCCATTTTCCAAGAAAGGTTATTTTGAACAGTTATGTATACTTCACAACCCATTATTTATAAGAAATGAAAAAGCAAGTAAAAAGAATTCATGTTTTTAAAACTTTTAAATAAGAAGCAATCAATTCTCTATATACTTTTATTAAAGAAGTACAACTTTAATACACAGCAAGATACATTGTTGCCAATATCAGTAGCATTACCATCTTCGTTTTTCCTTCAACTATCCCACAAAACATCATCATCCTTCAGTAAGAAAATTTCATATGTGGCTTAATTCAACATTAATTGCTTCTAACAAAATGGTAGCTTACTTATTAGCTGGTCACATTGATTACCTGTCTACCTACTATTATCCACATGACAAACTACATAACTACTCGGGGGGACGGGAGAACAGACGGAATGTGGCAATACTATGTATACATTTCCTCTATTTTGTAATGTAATGCATGCAGGCAGTCCCAAAGTTACTCCTAAGTGTGTCTTTAAATGGAAGATGCAGTGAAACTACTGTTATGCAAACTGTTATTTACCCTTACATTTTAGTAATTTTGGTACAAGAAAAAGCTCTCAAGCCTTTTCAATGGGTTAAAAGCTGGTCCTGTAGCAAGAGGTGGTGATGGTACTGAATGAGTAGGGTTGGTTCAGTTGTTTCAAAGGGAGGGCAATTTACAAGACATTAAAGGGCAAGTGCAAACTGTCCTGGCAAACCCAGGACTTATACTTCAGTGACTTAGGACCACTCTAAAAAATGATTCTTAAAAAGAGTACTATGGCAACCCAAGAGGCAAGTGAATTTTGGGAATAATGAGGGCAACAAATTGTATAGATGTGTTTTATACAATTGATCTATGTATTGTGATGAATTGTATGAGCCCCAATAAATTGATTTAAATTTTTAAAAAGTACTATGGCTTTGATTAGAGTATTTTACTTTAATGTTTAAAAACTAGCATTTCTAAAATTCACATTTCTTTACTGAATTTAAGACATCCACATGCCAATCAAGTGGGTAAAGGAAGTATGTGAATGTTGCTTTTAATGAAAAATTATACAAAGTATTTTCATAGCATAGTAATTATATTTAATCTCTTACTACTATACCACTTTACAATTGTTTTGCTCTTTCGATATTATTGTCATGTGATGTACTGTTTCTGAAATGTGAGTAAAGCAGTAATATATTTCATGTATCTGAGGCAACAATGTTACTGTCTATATCAAATATACCCCTAATTTGGCCTAGATAATTTTTGAACTACATCTTTATAACATGTAAGTGTTGGTCTTAATTGCTCTTCAAGAAAACAAGAGAATTTTTACCCACAACAACTGCCATGCTGTAGCAAAAAGATAAACGTAAGACGTATTTAGGATGATATTCTTTTAAATCTAAATTTTAGACAGGTAGCTAGGTTCTGTTATCTGCCTGACATGAGAAAAGCTGATATGGTGGCAAGTATTACCAGACCAGTGTCATGAACTTCAAAGAACTATCATATTTTCATTTTTAATTAGTTTCAAGTTTGGAAACAACAAATTAAACCACTGCGCTCCCTTTTTGTTGGTTAGCATTTAAGTAGGCTTAACAAGAAATTTTTCTTCAGGGAAGCAAACTGCATTTGTTACAGATGTTAGAGGGAAAAAAATCCCTCGATGTATGTGGAGTCACACAAGTTGGTTTAAACGAAATATAAAACAGATGAAATGTGATAGTCTTCCCACCATAAAGTACTGAGTTACAACAAAATGTCTTAGAATAACTTTATTCTTGAAAGTGCAAGCATGTTATTTAAACACTGTGTTACTTTCAATGTAAAGACATTATTACTTCAGATTTTAAAAACCTATAGATTGTGCATCTTTCCCAGGCATATTAATGATTACCTGATGGGATACAACCTCCCCCCAAAAAAAACCTTTAGCTCACCACAGAAGTATCACAAAAAAATGCAAAATGTGAGAATATAAAAAATAAAAACAAAGAGCAAATTAATAAAGGGCAAACAAATTAATTCATTTCTGAAGCCAGCACTCAATTTCAGTGTATTTCCTAACCCAGGAAAAGAAAAAATATAAATGTGTTTTTAATCATATCTTCCATACATAATGCATAGACTTGTGTATGTGCAAGAAGTAACTGTAAACATTAGCAACTAAATTAAGCCAGGCCACTAAGTAGCCACTCTGAAATATATAACATGAACCCGTTATTTTGACCACTTCCAACCCCTTATATCCTATAGGCTTATTATGGGAGAAGTAAGACTCATTGTGTTTTTAATTACAGAACAGTATCTAGAAGCCAATTTCAATTTAACTATGACATAACAAAACACATGAATACCTGAATATTTAAGAAACTGAAAATAGGAATCTATTAGAAAGTATTACTTTACTATACGATTAGGTACCAATTATGTTCATTCTGATGAGTTCACAGAAAAGCTAATGTGTTTGCAAATTCAAAAGTGGAATGGAGACGAGTTTCAGGTGATCCAGGTTCCTTGCTTTCATGAGTAACAAGAAGCAGCACTGGCTTCAGCATACTTCAGACAGGCCTATTATTCACTTACCTGGTGAACTTCATGATGGCCTACTATGACGATTTAATTATATATAGCGAGGAAAGAAATGATCCCAGAGAATAAGCAATTTAGGATATGGTCACAGGTCAAAGTACACCCAAACTCCACATGATTCAATCTTTCATACACACACACACCACACCACACACACACTCTCTCTCTAACTCATACATTTCGCACACAATGTTCTTATAAACTCCTCCACCCCCAGTCCAAAGTAACACAATGGAAAACCATAGCACAAATACGAGTACACTGTAGCCTCAATCTAAGTCTACTGTTCAGTGGGTCCTTTCTGAGGGACACAACACAGGTGAAAGTGTGTTGTGTTAGAGTCCATTCAGTACTGCTGTGACTAAAGCCCCGGAATGGGTCCAAAACAGACCCACATATTATCAAATTTCAAAACTATAGTAGAATGTTAGGACGAGGCTGCAGTGTACTTGATTATGTCGAGACTATATATTACAAAACACTCAAAATAAGAATGCATACGTATAAAAAGATATGACTGTCATTTTTAGCTTTATGTGGATATCAATTATTCCCATCTCACTCCTTCCGATTCCTGAAAATTGTTGAGATTATCAATGTCAGTTGTATCAAAATAGTAACACTTTATCCTCTTGACTGCTAATTCCAGTCTTCAAAAATGAAAAATACTCTAATATTATTAAGAATGGGGTCCTTACTCTTTTAAAAGTAAATACAGTTGACTTCAAATGCCAACATTAAAAAATTGGGAAAAAAATTTTTTTAATTCACCGACTAAATTATGGTCACATAGACTTGAGTCACATGAGCTTACTCCTGGCAAATGTAAATTTTATGCTATTAAATTATTGAAGTGCTTACATTTATTGACAAAAAACAAGCATTTCACAAGTTTAAAATCTAAAATTTTGACCTAAGTATATTTCATTGCACCAGACACTCAAAATACCCTAGGAAACTAACATAATACTTCTGCATTGTCACATAACCCCATTCATATTAGTTTGTAAGTAAGAATAAAAAGAAAAATGAGTTCTAAATAAATGACACAGGAGGCAATAAATTGACACATGACGAGTAAAGAAAAGGCTAAAGCACTCCAATACCATTGAAACTGTTTTAATGTTGTTGCAACTCCAAAATGCAACAATCATCAGCTTGTAAAAGACCCAAATGTCAAAAATGCATTTTAATTACTCCTTCATACCTATTTTACAAAATAAAGGCAAGAGACATTTACACCTTCCTTGTCCTAGTTGTGCTATGTTCCTAACTTGTTTTCTATCACTATAGTGTACACTTCATTCCCACCAGATGCTATATAAGAAAAATAAAATAAATAAAATATTAACCTCTGCTTCAATGTACAGTTTCCAGAATCTGCCAGAACTGGGGAACTGGGCAACAAGGCGTTCATAAGTCTTCCGTGCTTTGTCTATAGGTTGATTCTAAAATTGAAAACCAATAAACAGCATTTACAATATTAGGATTAAGAAACTATTATTTACTGCAGAACCAAGTAGTGTGATTGGACCCATAGAGAACAAAATGTAATCCTATATCACTAAACCTGTGCCTCTCGAATGAGAATGCTCCAAGCGTCAAGGTCATATGGATTCTCTTCTAATTTCTTTTCAGCTTTCTTCACCTTCTCTGGGACATATTCAGCTGCCTGGAAAAGAAATAAATAACAAACTGAATTTACTGTTTTAAAATCTCAGGGCAAGTACAATATAAGAGTCCCAAGATGTACTATTGTCACAGTACAGAGCTTAATAAACTGTCACAAAACAAGCCTATGTTGTCTGGAATCTATATATACTTTGTCAGAAATCACTTGCATAACAAAATATGACATAAATTTTTTTAGGAAAGCACACTATTTTCTTTACCCAACACCTTTATCTTTTATACTAAAACTACTTTAGAAACAGTTCATAAGCTTTCTGGGTTCAGAACCTCTTCATATTTTAAATTTGAGGGGCATGAATCTTTTTTCCCTGTGGGATAAACAGTCCACTTACAAAGAATAAATGTTACAGGTTAGCAAAAACAAATATTTTCCATGAAAAAAAAAAACTGTAAAAAATGTTTTTCTTTTATATGCTTTCAAATTTCTTTACTACCTGGCTGCTGTTTTTAAAAAAATCATTTTATTGAGAGCTCTTCCAGATAGAACATTCCACAATAGATCAATCACATCAAGCAGTACTGTACAACTGCTATCAGTCAGTTTTAAATATTTTCTTTCTACTTTAACTCCTTAATACCAGCTCCCCTTTATACCCTTCCCCCCCACCAGGAACCCATATTTATTTTTTTGCTGCATCTTACACCATGCAATATATCCACTGACATACAATTCTGTTGTTTGCACCTCTCCAGTAGGGTTATACAGTCATCAATGCTATCAGCATCCCTTTCCCCACCCCCCTTCACTTCCCATTCCTTCAGGGAATATAACTTTGAGAAACACTGCTGTAGACCATTCACCCTGAGCCACAAAAGTAAATAGTATGAAATGAGATATGAAAAGTTTATTGACATAATAGAATGAACAAAAATAATGTAACTTTATAATTAAAACAAAAAGTCTAATAGAAATTAAAATAAAGTCAATGAAAAAATAAGCTAAAACAAGCATGCAGTGGTCATGTGATCAACAAGCCCTGCCCTTACCTATAATTTTTTTTAGTAACATTTATTATAGAACGTTTATATTATAGATATGACAAAATACCCATTTATTTATAAACTATCAAGGGCTCATCAGGGAGGGGAGAGCGGGGAGGGAGGGGAAAAATGAGGACCTAATGTCGGGGGTTTAAGAGGAGAGAAAATGTTTTGAGAAACGATGTACAAATGTGCTTTACACAATTGATGTGTGTATGGATTGGGATAACAGTTGTATGAGCCCCTAATAAAATGCTTAAAAAAAAAAAAGAAATGTAATCTAAAAGAAAACCATCTAAATAGTAGCATCCGAGGCATAAATGAAAGTATTATTTCTCAAGATGCCATTCAGGACATAACTCTGTACCACAATAAAATGTGATGCTCAAATATGTCGGGCAAATAGTAGTTCTATACAGTTTTATTTTTGCTCTTTTTGCAAGTCACATTGATAATATTCACATTGGGAAAACTTGAAAAAAGTTCTACTGAGGGGAAAAATATTTGGCTAATCCTTCCAATGTATACATATTATTAGATAGAAAAAAACATGTTTTAAAATACTTTGATTTTCCATCAAAATTATGAGATATAAAAGAGCTTCATAAATAAGTTGCTCAAAAAACAATTGGAAAAAAAACACACCACCAATTGGAGATAAAAAGTTTTATGAAGGACTACTTGCTGCACCAATTAAAACATAAAGCAATACAGAATTCAAACCTTTGGTGATACTGTAAACAAAAGAAAAATAAAAGACAGGACCAGAGGTCAAATGTAAATGATACTTTTGAGAATGATGATAGCAACAAATGTACAAATGTGCTTCACACAATGGATGTATGTATGGATTGTGATAAGAATGGCAGGAGCCCCCAATAAAATGATTAAAACAAAACAAAAAGATACTTGAAAAATTTGCATATAAAAGATACCATTTCATACCAGTTTGCTGATCACCTAATAAATGGTTAATTATATAATCACCTGGGAGTGGGGAAAAGGAAACTAGCATTAAACACTATCTTTTCTACCACAATAAATTTCCAGACAGATAAAAAATTTAAACATTAAAAATAAAACTAGGAAGAACAAAATATAGTAAAGTTTATCTTAACATGGTGGAATAGGCTCTTCAGAAGTCTTTGAAGATTAAATTATGTAAAATTTAAATCTGTATGTGAGCAACATATAATCCATCAAGTGATATCTTCAGCATATATGACCAGTTTATTAATAAAAGACAGTGATTAAAAAAGAAAATGAATACAACATATACAAATCACTTGTAGTAAGGGAAATACAATTCATAAGAAAGCATTTTATAATGAATATTGCATTAGTAAGGATGTGAAGCTGCAGATACTGTTGACAGGGGCAAATAGCACGACAGATTAAACTGAAAATGAACTTCTGACCCTGAATTCCCCTTCTAGAGATTTATCCTACTGCCTATCTGCACAAAGATCCATCATAGCAGATAGCTGCTAGGGTGCTTATAGGTGCACAGACAGAGGAGTTTAAGAAGACTGACTAGCTGAACAAATATGGAATTTGAGCCACAAAAAAGAAGCAGATTCTCTTGTGATCCACAGGGTTTTTCATTGGCCATTTTGGGGAAGTAAATGGCCAGGTCTTCCTCCATAGGCACATAGGCTGGAAGCTCGATGAATCCTGTCTACCATAGATGAATGACCCCGCTAGCTCTCAGCCTTACTGCAACACATCAGCCACCACAATACAACAAACTGACATTTTCACAAAAGTTCCTTATAAGCTAAGATGTCAAGACTTCAACTCGCTTACTTTGAACACATCATCAGGAAGAAACAGTTGTTAGAAAAGGTCATCATGCTTGGCCAGCATAACCATGGGAAAATTCTCCATGAGGTAGATTGACAAAATAGCCACAAACATAGCAATTATTATTAAGATGACTACCTCGAGCCAGAGCTGACTCAATGGCAACAAACAACAACAAAGGGATAGGCAAGGAACATCCATAATTAGCAACATAGAACAACCTCTATAGAACACTCAGGAAACTGGTTGTTTCTGTGCAGGAATATTGATAAAATATATTTTGAAAATTCTATTAGGAACTAAAAGCAACTCATCTATATACTGTATTGCCTTTGACGGTTCTAAAAATTTGTACTTCAAATAAATCTGAGAGGGAAAGTAAAAATTAACCTCCCAAATTAGATGAATATTTCATAACTGGTAAAAGAACAGAGAAACTCATGAGATAACCTCTACTATTTGGCTAAGCATAATCATTACTAATTAAGTCACCAGCCCTTTAGTGATTCTCAGCCGCTCTACTGAGGGGCTTGTACCACTAAAAGAACCCTCCAAGTGGGTCTAATGTCCAGCTTAGGTTGACAAGCATGGTACTTCAATGATTCCTCATCTTTTGGGTGACACATTTTACAGCCTAGGGACGACTCCACAAAATATAATTTCTCAAATTTTAGGGGAAAATGAGGACCTAATGTCGGGGGTTTGAGTGGAGAGAAAATGTTTTGAGAAACGATGTACAAATGCGCTTTACACAATTGATGTGTGTATGGATTGGGATGACAGTTGTATGAGCCCCTAATAAAATGTTAAAAAAAAAATTTTCTCAAATTTTAAAACACAATTTATATAGTAATATCTAATTAGTATATTAAATAAAGTCAAATTTTGAAATGGGTGTAAACAATAATAGTAAAAAAAAGTCAGATGCTGATAGCACTAATGTTTCTTTTTTTTAAATCATTTTATTAGGGGCTCATACAACTCTTATCACAATCCATACATACATACTTTGTGTCAAGCACATTTGTA